CAGCTGCGCCGCCGCACCTGCCGCGCTCCCCGGCCGCTCCTCCCGGAAACGCGAGGCGCGCCCCGCCCCTGCTCGGACCCCGACTGCTCGCCTGGGGGCGCGGGCCGCGGTGGCCCCTGCTGCCTTTCAGGCACCGGCCCGGCGCTGGCCGGCCCGGCGGAGCCGAAGTGCGCTGCTGTGGCTGTGCCCCCGCCTCTTGGGGCTGCCCCGGCGACCTGACCCCCAGAGGGCCCGAGAGTCTGGCCCAGATGGGCAAGAACGAGCCGTGCTGCGGGACAGCGATGTCGAGGGGACCTGGGGACCCTCTGGGGCAGGGCGGGGCATGCACTAGCATCTAGCGAGGGGCCAAAAACTGTAGGAAAAAGCTGGCCAGGAAAGACTAAGTATTTCCAGTGGCTATCGCTAGAGGCGAGGAGGTTTTACTGTCGCCTCTGTATTTCCCAATTTTGGTTTTTCCCATTTGAACAATAAACACGAAGTACTAGAAAATGGTATCTAAGCGTGAGGGTGAGTGCGAAGTAGAGCAAGGCCCCACGTCAGTGCCCCCACACACACTTTGTGGCGCACAGCGCACTAGGGGTCCCCTGGGAGGGGGCAGGGAGAGCTGGGGAGGGAATCCCTTCGACCTCCCAAGGTCCTTCCTTCCTTCCCGGCCTGGCGGCCCCCGCACCCACCTGGAGGGCTGGCCGCACTGCTCTGCTGGGTGCTCAGGGGCTGAGGCCTGCTTCTCAAGGCAAGGGGCCCGGGCTCAAGCCCAACCACAACAGGTTGGGCCTATAGGACAGGACCTTGAGGGGGGCGGCCCCTGGCACAGGCGCCCGTCGTCGCCAAGGACCTGCCGGGCCGGCTCACCCAGTCCTGCGGTCCCAGGTCCCAGGACCAACCGTTATTGTTGGCTGGGGGCTGCCACCACAGCCGGCCTACACTGTCGGGGAGGGGCCGATGGGGGCTGGAAAGCCGCAGGCGCAGGTCTCTGCTCGGTGCCCTTCCTGCCTGGTCACCAAGGAGGGCTGCCCTGGGAAGAGGACGCCATGGGAACCATGTCTACAGATAGAGTTGCGCTCTCTTCAAGCAGAGCCTTGCTCCATATTCCTGACCCGGAGTCAGGGCATGGGGGCAAGGAGGCAGTGCACGAGGCCAGCGGTACCTGTGGCTATGCCAGAGGGCCAGAATTCAGCACAGAGCCCAGGTTACATGCCCAAGGTGGAGCAGGGCCCGGTCATCCAGCACTGAAACAGCCCCGCGCCCGGCCATGTCGCTGTGTGAAGCCAAGGGCAGACACCACCTTTTGTAAACATTTTTTTTTTTAAAGAGAGATTTTTGCTATAGGGTGCGTGCACTCACCAGAGAGACAGAGACAGGGGATGGCAAAGCCACAATCCCTTCTACTCCATTCTCTTCTTGGGATCTTGGGCACACACACGTGCCCAGAATGAGTTTTAAGGCGCCGGGTCTGGGACTCAAACTGTGCTTGACTGTGTGGGAGTCCAGCAGCATAGCCATCACGCCATCTGCTGGTCTCAACATCGTTTTTACTTTGCCAGGATCTTGGTCCCAAATGTTTCCATGAACCCTCAGAAAGCTATGCCCAAGGGTTAGCCAGAGGCCTCGGTGCTAAGTGGGAGGCACTTCAAAAGAAGGGGGAGGGTGGCAGGTGGTATGGTGGCCAAGACAGTTGGACTCCCACATAGCTGAATGTGGTTCAAGTCCCGGACTTGGCAGCTTGCTCTCTTACTTTCCTTCTCTCTCTCTCTGGTCTTCAAAAAATAAAAAAATAAAAATAATGACAGTCGGGGCCAGCAGGTGGTGTGGTGGTTAAGGGTACTGGACTCCCACATGACCAACTGTGGTTCAAGTCCCAGACCTGGATTCTCGCTTTCTCACTTTCTCCCTGAAAATATTAAGATAATCATAATAAATTTTTTAAAATAATGGCAATGAAGGACCAGCAGTTGGCGTAATGGCTATGTCGCAGGACTCCCATGTAGTCAACTGTGGTTCGAGTCCTGGACCCGGTGGCTTAAACTCACACCGGGTGCATGTGCATACGTGCATGCCCAAGATCCCGAGAGGAGAATGGAGGAGAAGGGATTGCAACGTGGCCATCCCCCCTGGGGGGGTGATTTCTCACTTTCTGTCTCTCTGTCTCTCTCTCTGTCTCTCTGGCAAGTGCACACGCCCTATAGCTAAAAATCTCTCAAAAAAAAAAATAATGACAATGAGTAAGATTTAAAAATTCTTTTTTAAAATTATTTTTTATTTAATTACATTTGTTATTGTTTTTAAAATTATTTTTAAATTTTATTTATTTATTTTTTCTTTTTTTGGAGAGGTTTTTGCTATAGGGCGTGTGCGCTCACCAGACAGACAGAGAGAGGCAGTTGGGGTGACTTCCTTTCCAGATGGTCTCAGCCTGCATCTTAGGGGTGAGAACTCCCAGCTCCTGATCCAGTCCAGGCTGCTCTTAGCCCAGGGTTTAGCTTCTGCCCAGCCTGTTGGTGGTAGAGGGCCCCAGCACTCCGTGGGAGTCCATCTCTCCACCCTCCTCTACCCTGCTGCATTACGGCCTGTCCACCGCAGTAAGCTGCTGGAACAGGCCACGTGTCAGAGCGCGCTCGTGCCCAAATGCAGAGCCCTTGCGTGATGTTGTTCCATGGGCCTGTTTTTTTGTTTTGTTTTGTTTTGTTTTGTTGAGAGGTTTTTGCTATAGGGTGCATGTGCTCGCCAGACAGAGAGAGACAGAGAGATAGAAAGCGAGAAATCACCCCCCCCCCGGGGGATGGCCACGCCGCAATCCCTTCTCCTTCATTCTCCTCTGGGGATCTTGGGCACGCACACACACATGCACGGTGTGAGTTTAAGCCACCGGGTCCGGGACTCGAACCACGGTCAACTACGTGGGAGTCCAGCGACATAGCCATTACGCTAACTGCTGGTCCCTAAATTTTATTTATTCATTTATTTTATTTTGACCAGAGAGAGACATACAGAGAGAGAGGGAAAGTGAGAAAGCAAGCCACTAGGTTGGGGATTCGAACTGTGGTCGGCCACATGAGAGTGTCCAGCACCTTAACCACCACATCACCTGCTGATTCCCCTTATTATTATTTTTTAATTTGGCCAGACAGAGACAGAAAGAGAGAGAAAGGGAAAGTGAGAAAGCAAGCCACCAGGTCCGAGACTTGAACGGTGGTCAGCCATGTGGGAATCTAGCGCCTTTAACCACTATACAACCTGCTGGCTCCTAAATTTAAAAAAAAAAAATTTTTTTTTGGAGAAGTTTCTGCTATGGGGTGCGTGTGCTTGCCAGAAAGACAGAGAGAGACAGAAAGCGAGAAATCACCCCCCACGGAGGATGGCCACACCACAATCCCTTCTCCTCCATTCTCCTCTCGGGATCCTGGGTGCACACACACACGTGCCTGGCGTGAGTTTAAGCTGCAGGGTCTGGGACTCAAACCACAGTCAACTACATGGAAGTCCAGTGACATAGCCATTATGCCAACTTCTGGTCCCCCAAAATTCTTTTTTATGGGAGAAGTTTTTGCTATAGGGTGCATGCACTCGTCAGAAAGACAGAGAGACAGAGAGACAGAAAGTGAGAAATTACCCCCAGGGGGGTTGGCCACACTGCAATCCCTTTTCCTCCATTCTCCTCTCAGGATCCTAGGCATGCATGCACATGTGCCTGGCATGAGATTAAGCCACCGGGTCTGGGACTCGAACCACAGTCAACTACATGGGAGTCCAGTGACATAGTCATTACACCAATTGTTGGTTTCCAAAACTTCTAAAAAAAAAAAAAGCGTGAGGCATATGTGTGGGGCCACACCAGAGGGGTGTGCAGAATCCAAGAGCCTCTCAATTGCTCACAAGAGAGGGCTCTAAGCCCAGCTGACAGGCCCAGGATGTAATCCTGGAAGTCAGGTGAGGTGGCACAGGCCTGTAGTCTTAGCCATTTGGGAGGCTGAGGCAGGAGGATCAGCAGTTTGAGGTCAGCCTGGGCAAGAAAGTGAGATCCTGTCTCAAAAAACAAGAAAAGCGGCTAGCAGCTGGTGTAGTGGGTGAAGCCCTGGACTCACACATGGTCGCTCGTGGTTCCAGTCCCAGACCCGACAACTTGCAACATGCCAGGTGCATGGTCAAAATCCCGAGAGAATAAAGGAGAAGGGATTGCAGTGTGGCCATCCCCCTGGGGGTGATTTCTCACTTTCTGTCTCTCTCTGTGTCTCTGGCAAGACCACACGCCCATATGCCCACACGCTCTCTAAAATCAAATCTCTGGGACTGGCAGATGGCATAATGGTTACATCACTAGACTCCCACATAGTCAACAATGGTTCAAGTCCCAGACCTGGCAGCTTCAAACTCAAGCCGGGCACTTTCTGTTTCTCTGTCTCTCTCCAGCAAGTGCATGTGCCCTATAGAAAACCCTCTCTCAAAAAAAAAAAACCAAAAAACATAAAACAAAACAAAACAAAAAAACAACTCTCTTAAAATAAAAGAAAGGGGGACCAGCAGTTAGCATAACGGCTATGTCACTGGACTCCCATGTAGTGGACCAGGGTTTGAGTCCTGGACCCGGTGGCTTAAAACTCATGCCGGGTGCGTATGCACGTGTGTCCAAAATCCTTAGAGGAGAATGGAGGAGAAAGGATTGTGGTGTGGCCATCCCCCCTGAGGGGTGATTTCTTGCTTTCTGTCTCTGTCTCTGTGTCTGGTGAGTGCACGTGCCCTATAGCAAAAACCTCTCCAAAAAAAAAAAAGACAGAAACAAAACAAG